ACCTCATGCTAATTAGAGGTAGAACTGTATCAGCAGTACCATGTTGTATATGTATAGTGTTTTGCTCATTTATTCACCCAGTAAGCACTGATGCTTCCCGTGAGCAAAGATCTTCACTTATAATGTGAGAAATACAGAGGTAGATGAAATATAGTTTCTGCTTCCAGGGAATGTGCCGTCTATTAAGGGCAATAATACATGGATTCAGATAGCTTTAAATAAAGGTTGAAGTGCTCTGGGCCATAAGAGACAGACAGAACTCTGAGATGAGAGAACATATGTCTAGCCAAGAAGTCAGAGAAGGAAGATGTGGCATTTGAGCGGGACCTTGACTTGGCCTCACACTTGGCTACAGGGGCAACTGCGTGAGCCCAAGGTAAAACTGGTACAGCAGGTAAGGTTAGTCTGGAGTGAAGCCCTAGGAAGCGGAGCAGGTGGGTGGATGCTGGCCAGGGACTGAGGCCACAGGTCCATGAGGGCAAGGCTGAAGAGTTTGACTTTTGTTCTGTGGGTGATGGGGAATTGTACGGGACAGAGTAGCCCCAGCTCTCACTTAGGAAGAGGGTTCTACCACAGCTTACAGGATGTTCCGGAAGGGCATTTTCTGTGCTGTGCTTCCTCACATGTCTGAAGTTTGTAGGCCTGTGATACTTTTTGGTGCGGAGTCTTTGGGGTAATTCTTTGCTGCGTTTGGCTTATCTAGTCCCCATTGGGTGGTTTTGAGTGTTTTCACTATTCTAAATAAAACTGTGATTAATATTTTTGAATATTTAAGAGCCAGGGTTTTTTGAGCTCATACTCTGTTCTAGGACTTGTACCAGGTACAGGGGACACAGAGGTGAATAGATGCCACCCTTGGCTTCTAGGAACTCATGGTCTAGTGTAAATAACATCATATTTTCTTCCTATGGGGGTCATGACTTTGAGGTACAACAGTAAAAATCATAATAGAAGGTCAAAGAGAATAATCAGATTTTAAATTCTTATTACAATTTCTCCAATTATTTCCTGGACAGATCGAATAGCCAGTTGACATTGTCATCCTTAAATCTTTAGGCCAATACATGTTGGGGCTGATTATTTTTATTCATATTTGGTACTTTAGTAGACACACAGTAGTACTCTGTAGCCCTTTCAGTTGTGCTTCTTGAATTAATAAGGCTGTACATTTTCTATATTATTTACCAGCTTTATTTCTTCATGCAAAGTTGTGAATTCATTTTCTTTGAGCATGTATAATCTGGGTATTTACCATGTGTGTTTATGCACATTCTTCATACGTTTGTATTGTAAGCCTCCTCTCCCCAGAATATTATTTTTAAAAATTGATTTACTTATTTTTAACTGTTTTATTGATATATAATTTATATACCATATTATCCACCCATTCAATCATTTTTAGTGTATTCACAGAGATGTGCAACCATCACCACAGAAGATTTTCATCACCCCAAAAAGGAAACCCCATAGCTATTAGCAATCACTCCCCATTTCCTCCCAAACCTCCCACCCCCAGCCCTAGACAATTGCTAATTTACTTTCTGTTTCTATAGATTAGTCTGTTCTAGATATTTCACATAAATTGAATCATACAATATGTGGTTATTTGTGTCTGGCTTCTTTCACGTAGCATAATGTGTTCAAGATTCATCCAGGTTACAGCGTGTATCAGTATTTCATTCCTTTTTGTTGCTAAATGTCCTGTTGTGAAATACTGTATTTTATTTATCCACATCATTAGTTGATGAACATTTGGGTTGTTTCTGCTTTTGGACTGTTAGAGATAATGCTGCTAGAAATATTCACGTGCAAGTTTTTGTGTGGACTTATATTTTCATTTCTCTAAAGTATATACCCTGGAGTAGAACTGCTGGACCATGTTGTACTCCATGTTTAGTCTTTTGAGGAACTGCTAGACATTTAAAGGATTTTCTAGAATTTCCATTCCGTTCCATTGGTGAAGGCCACACCAAGCAGTTTTGATGATTGCCTCTTTCTGATGGGAGTAATTACTTTTCAACTGTAAATTTTATGGAATCTAAGTATTTCTGATGAAAAATAGAGTCCAAATTGATATGTGCTGTAAGTGTAAAATACACACTGGACTTCAAAGACTTAATATGAAAAAAGAATGCAAAATATCTCATCAATAATTTTTTGTATTACGTGTTGAAATGATAGTATTTTGGATATATTGAGTTAAATAGAAATAATTAAAATTAATTTCACTTATTTGTTTTTCCTTTTTTGTCTTTTTTCATGTGGCTATTATAAAACAAATTTATAC